CCTGGGTAATCAGGACTGATGAATTTCAATGCATGGTTACCAGGGATCCTGGTTTTTTCTGTTTAGAAATCCAAAATTCTCTGTAAAAACTCAAAATTCTCTGATTTAAAACCCCCAAATCTGCATTTTTCCATGATTAAAATGAAAGGCCATGATATCAGGTATCAGATGAGCACAATGTTTTCATAGATTTCACAGATTTTAGGGTTGGAAGAGACCTATTAGATCATCAAGTCTGACCCCTTGCCCTGGGAAACTGCAGGAGCAAAGGTAATTTTAGTAAATCAGATCACAGAAAAATAATAAACTGAAAAAGTAATAGACTAATTTTTTTCTTTTCTGCGTAGGTCCAGCGCAATCTCAGTTGTGAAGATACTGAGAGTTTTAAGAGTCTTGAGACCCCTAAGGGCAATAAACAGAGCAAAAGGACTGAAGGTTTTTATATTTTTTTTATATGTTCTGTTCCAGTTGGCCTCATTCTGCAGTCCTACTGCAGGCAAAGCCCCTACTGAAGTCAAAGGGGAATTTGCCTGGAGAAGAACACAGAGCCAGACCCTTAATCAGTTCGGGGTTCTTAGACATTGTAGGATCAATTCTGTCATGTATTGTAGCCATTTAAATCTGGAACAACATCAGCTTCACTAAGACTAGATTTAGGCCCATACTGCTTGCAAATGTATCTTTGCCATTTATTCATTTTAATTGTACACTGCATATGTGCTGCCTGTCACTTTAAGATATGAAGTAACCTACATCCAACATATTGCAGGTAAATTCAGAGATCATTCTAATTTATGGTAAGAACATTAAAGCAGTACCAGAAACATTCAGTCTGTTTTCTGACGGGTTAATTTTAGGAGTGAAATTATCTAAATATATGGAAATACATTGTACACTTTCATAACACTCAGTAATAACATTCAGTTGTGTTAACATTCTTTTCCCCTGCCCCCCTTTTCTTCACAGCACGTTGTTCAATGTGTCTTTGTTGCTATTAGAACTATTGGCAATATCATGATTGTTACAACCCTGCTGCAGTTCATGTTCGCCTGTATTGGTGTACAGCTATTCAAGGTAAATAAACACATTCTTCCAAAACATATCCTGCACCAGGGAGTGCATTGACAGAACCAAACTGACTTCAGTGGGGTTCTGCATTGGAAATGACTTGGTCCCCTGCCAGGCCAGTTGCAAGATCTTAAAGTTAACTTTTATGTTTACCTACATTTTTGTTTTATATGTAGGGAAAATTCTATCGGTGTAGCGATGAAGCAAAGCAGAATCCAGAGGAGTGCCGGTGAGAACTCTTTTTCTATTATTAATTTGACACATCACATTTTACTACTACTACTCCTCATTATAATAATTTTGATTGTAATTCATTCATGCCCAGAAGCCTCTGAGCATTATAACTAACACAGATAGGCAGATCATAGGCCATTTAGGTTTTTTGTAAGTCTGAATCAACATCCTAAAATCCAGCTGTGATTTTGGTGTCATAAGCAAACTAACACTCATTAACTGATAACAAAGATCAGATATTTCAAGAAAAGAACTGCATCATTCTGAGAATAATTTAATGCTTCCCATATCACAATTTCTATTTTTTTTTCCACAGGGGGATATACATTGTTT